TGCATTCTCAGATCTCTGGTGGCTCCCCCTCTGATGCAAAATCAAAATACTCCTTCCAAAGGCCCATGAATCAAATCAAGGAGTGGTGGGGACTCCCAGGCTCTCTAACTTCTGCTAATCTCTTTTCTTCATATTCATTCCTTCTTTCTGATCATGTTCATCTCAACAAGCGAGGCAACTTCACAGGCAGAGTGTGTGTACTCTGAGGGCCCATAAGCGGACCTCAAGCTGCTGAGCTTAGCTACTGCAGGAGGAAGGAGTGCTGAAATAATTCTCTCTAAATTCCAGTCAGAATTTAGACTGTGCTGCCATCTTTCTTTTTATCTCAGCATCTTCGACCTGCCTCTCCCTCTGGGTGCTGTCCTCTCATTGTTACTCTCGGAACCTTGACCACCTAACTGTCCCCTAGTCTTCTCAGGAAAAGTCTTTGCTTTTTAATAGCAGTTACGAGGGCACAGTAAATGAAGTCATCCTGGAGCTGAGGACGCGACTATAGACCATGGTTCTCCCACAACTGCTGTAAAGGAAATAAATGATAATGACTGCCTGATTTTGGCAAACTTACCATCCCGAGTTACCACACTCAGCTGAAGCCCCATGTTGTGCTGTGGGGTCACGACCCACAGATTGCTTGTGGCCGTGATGTCAAATTCTAGCCAGCCTTCTTCTGAGGCCCACACTACGCGGGTGTCCAACAAAAATAGGTCAGAGTCTCTGAAAGAAAGAAAAGATGGCACAGTGGTGAACAGTGTGCTGACCCCTCAGCTCATTCTCACTCTGTCCTGCCTTAGTGTCATAATAAAAGATGCCAATGTCGGATCAGGCCTGCATACAGTGCTGTGTACCGTGACCTGCCAAAGGTCTGCCTGGTGAGATACTGTATAAGACATATGCATGACATAATCTAGAGAGAAGTGAATATGTGCTAGGGCACTTTAGAGAAGTCGACTTTCTCCCAAACATAGGAGGATTTCTCATTTCGCCAAAGGCCTCGTTATGATGCTTATACCAAATCTTTTTGTAATTAAGGTAAATTTAGATAGATAGGTAGACAGACAGATAGACATCATATTGTTGCTTAATTTATGGCTAATGAACTCTAAAAAAGAGAAAGTGTGGGAGCAATGAAGAAAAAGGTTAAGAATATATTAAAATCCGAACCAATATGAGCATTTATAAAGTTATGCTTTGCTCATTTTTTTCTTAATTAGGACTTGACAATCTTCACATGTTAGTTCCTGTGAAATAAGGGGAAACAAGAAACCACATCATATTTCTGAGTAATCATCAGTTCTTTTCTTTTAATTAAGGCATTTGAATGGTCTACGGCGAGTGCCGAGTCCTTTCTCATCTGGACCGTGTAACCGTGGGTGTAAGTTGAGTGATTTTAAAGTTTATCCCAGCACAGCTGTGAGCCAGGGCCGGGGTTCTTTGAGGCAAACTCATTGAGTTCATTCCTGCCATCGGGCTTCATAGGGAATATTTTTTAATATTTTTTACAGTTGTCAACTAATAAAACCCTAGGGGTTGTGAAGATGGAGTGAGGGTTTCTTCCTGCTCACCCACGTCATGGTAGAGCAGTGTTAGGTGATGGTCACTTTTGTGTGTTGCAAGGATACTCTGAATCCAAGTTGATATCCCAGGTTCAGTGGCATGACATGGCCTGGAATTCCCATGAGAGAAAGAGGGATATTTAGGCCATGGAAAGATTCAGATCCCCTGGTACTGAAAATATTTTGCTGAAATATCTTACAGGATAGAAGAAACTGGAATTAGATACTAAATTTAGGATGAGCATCTCAACATTAATAAAGTATATTTAAATCAATTCTAAAGCACTTCCATACACTTTGCTTTACTTGGTCCTCGTAACTATTCTGAAAACTCAGTAGAACATCATTATCCCCACTTTACGGCTGGGAAAACTGAAACTCAGAAGTGAGGCTACTGTCATGCGGTCAAGATCAAAAGCTAGTGAATGAAAAGAAAGTAAGTGGATACAGAGTTTCCCATGATATGCTGTCTTTTGAGATCATTATGAAAGACAATCTATGACAAATGAATAGAATTTATCTCTATTCTATTGAATATTTGTGAGGCCAGTGAAACATCTGAGTTAAGAATTTGAGATTTCTCAGAGGGGAAACAATTTTTCCTGTTGACATGGCTGAGAGTTAGAAGGAAACTTTATTGTCATTTTTTCCAAGCTTAAAACAGTAGGTACAGCTAAAAGTAGTTTACTCAGCTGCTGAACAGAGCCTGCGGGGGGCACATTCAAGCCTGCCTTCTTTCAAGTGCTCTCCCCCAATGTATGTGTCATACCCCCTGTTGACAAATTACCCCTCCCCCCTTGTTACTGAGGTAACTGTGAGCAAGGAGATGGGGGTGTTCATGGAAAACAGCAAGAGGGGATTGCAAGTCCAAAGCTTTGAAGTTAAGATGCAAGAAGACATAAATCTATTCGGGAAGGTCAGAAAAGACCCTTATCCAGAAATAACACAGACACTATGCACAGCACTGTGGGGAAAGTAGCTCTGGTCCTGAAGGCAGCACAAGATACATCCATGTCAAAGCAGCACCCTCCAGAATGAAGACACAGTGAGAATTTCAAGGTGTAAGGCTGCCCCTGAGGTGAAGAGGATCTGTGTATGGAGCTGTTGCTGAGGGTCACTTGTTGCTATTTACAGAGTTTTGATGATACATGTAATTTTTAAGGACTTGTATGTAACAAGGATACAGAAAACTACAGTCCAAGATATGAGTGGGGCATAGCTGGTAGAAGCTACAGTGAGCTTTTATTTTTAAAAAGTGGTGTTTATAATAAAGGAAATAGGAGTCTATTATAAAAGAAAGTGGGGAATGGGACAGAAGGTCATCATCTCAAAATAGGAGAAAGCAATCAGAGAAAAGGAGAAAAGAGAGGAGCTTGAATTAAAGAGGGAGAACGTGAATCAAGAGCTAAACTTGGAATA